GGGGCGAACGCCACCCTTGGTTGCATAGCCAGAAGTGTGGCTTCTAGATCAAGAGGGTATTACTACCACTCTACATGACTCTGGTGCGCCCACAACTGGAGAATTGTGCTCAGTTTTGGGCCCCTCATTACAGGAAGGATATAGCCAGGTTGGAGTCAGTGCAGCGTAGGGCCACAAGGTTGGTGGCCAGTTTGCAGGGATGCCATCTGAGGCGAGACTGAGGGAACTGGGTCTCTTCAGCCTGGAGAAGAGGAGACTCAGAGGGGATCTGTTGGTGACATACAGGTATGTGAGGGGGTGTCACATGGAGATGGGCAGAGACCTGTTCTCCCCTGCAGAGGAAGGCAGGACGTGCTCCAATGGAGCAAAGCTCAGGGAACCCAGGTTCAATTTAGATGCCAGGAAGTACTTCCTGACAGTCAGGACCCCAAGGGTATGGAATGGGCTTCCACGGGAGGTGGTTGAGGCCACATTGGTGAGGGTGTTCAAGGATAGGCTAGACATGCACATGGTGAGCATGTCATGAGCGGAGCCGGCTGGAGCTGGGGGTCAGACTAGATGGCCCAGGAGACCCCTTCTGACTTGCTCTGCTTCTCTGTTTCTATGTTTGATCAGGTGTAAGCCCCTGTGTGTCTGATAGGATATATTGCCATTGTGTAGAATTGCTAGCCTAAACAATTCTGTTCAGTTCTGCTATCTGCCACTGTTTCACCATAGGCTGAACTTTGCTGTGCTTCCTTTACCGCGCCCCCTCCAAATAGGACATGTCACTGTGCCAGAAATGAAACATCCCAGACTGAAATACAGTGGTACCTTGGCGCACAAATGCCTTGGTTCACGACCAAATCAAGTCACAAACAAAAAATTAATGAAAATTTTGACTTGAGTCGCAAACTCCGCTTTGGGTGGCGACCAAGATCACAGCCATCTCCCCACCCCTCTGAGTGGGGAGATGGCCACGATCGCAGTTGCGTTTGTGCAGGGAAGACATGCTTGGTCACGGGTGCACTCCTGCAGGAAAGACGGGCGCAATCTTGGCCATCTCCCCCCCCCAACCAGCACGATTGTGGCCACCCCACCCCCCGAGTGGGGAGATGGCCATGATCACAGTCGCATTCGTGCAAGGAACATCTGCATGATTGTGGCTGTGTTGTGCTGTGCCCATCTTCCCTGCAGGAGCACACCCATGATCACGCACATCTTCCCTGCACGAACGCAACTGTGATCGTGGCCATCTCCCCACTCGGGTGTGGGTAGGGAGATGGCCACAATCGTGCTGGTTGGAGTGTGGGGCAAGATGGCTGCAATTGTGTTGGTTGGGCAGGCGGGCGGGGGGAGATGGCCGTGATCATGCTGGTTGGGGAGGGGAGAGAGATGGCCGAGATTGCGCCTGTCTTTCCTGCAGGAGTGCACCCATCCCAGGATTTCATTGAGAAGCACCACCCCAACATAACTGTAATGAACAGAGTGTTGAATCTGATGAACAATAACGTGGTCTCTCATTTCTGGAGGGTTATACAGCGCAGGAAAAAACAAGTGAATATAGACAGATTTTTCACCAAAATTGACCCTGCAGCTAAGAGACAAAGAAGAGGAAACCCCTGAAAGAGATCTCCCCAGTGTCCTTATGGAGGGGGACTCTCCCTCAAAACAATAACCTCCCTCCACCTAGGTTAGTGTTCTCCACTGTACTGTACAGTACTTTGTTACTTTCTTGTTCTTTGTCACTTTGTTTCAAAATTTCTGATTAAAAAAAAAAGTTACAGAACACATTAACCTTATTTACATTGAACCTTATGGGGAAATTTGACTGGGCTCGCGACCAATCTGGGTCATGACCAGAGTCCTGGAACAGACTAAGTTCGTGAGCCGAGGTACCACTGTACCTTTGTTACTGCTTTTTGATTAAACAACCTTGTTAGGGAAGTTAATGCAAGTGCTGTACAGCAGAGTTCCTGCACAAGCAGAGGAGGAGTTCTTGGACTGAAAGAATTACCTTTGAAAAATACAAATCCATGTGGCTTTTTGCCAATTTACAATGCGTAGGCAGCACTATAATCTGGAATCAGGAGTATAATGTGTTACTGGAATTGCTATGTATATCTTCAAATTCAGGAATTATTAGTGAAGCAGACACAGTGATGGCACCAAAAGAAACGTACTTTTCAATTAGATAGTTAGATGACTTTTCTGCTTAAAAGACAAGCTATACAGAGCAAGCTATAACAGTTTATGAGGTGAAGCTGGTTTAAAGCAAATTAAAAAGTTATGTTTTAGGGTAGAAAAGAATACTTGAACCAGGAGCCATATTAACCAGTTTGAACTGCTGGAGATGGATCCCTAGTGAATGCTATCTATTCTTTTTGCAAATAAAATTTGCCTTAATTGCCCAGAAAAGATCAACTAGATGTTTCATTTAAAGATATTTTAAAATATTATCATTTACTTTTTTAAATTGGAAACATTTCTACAACACATTTGTGCAGTTTTTGCTGCCTCCCTCTGTTCTCCAGCCCCAGTAATCTGGGGATGTTAAGAATTCTGCGACAGATGTCTGGCCTGGCCTCCCCCATGGAGCTACATGATCTCCTGGGACATGAGCAACTTGGGGAAGGCATGCGCTCATGCCCAAATGTAACAGGATCTTTGGACTCCCTGATGCATGCGGCTTTGTGTGATTTAATGCAGTGGGCTTTAACACGCTGGGTGAACAGAGCACTGCACTTTAGATGAGCGTTTTCCTGCATAACCACTGTTTCCAATTGCCCGAACTGGTTAACATGACTCTCCTGTCCTGTATAAAAGAGGAAAGGACAAGAGGACCAAAAGGAGGGATGGCAGATGTTACCTAGCATGTTGTAGCAAAGTGGACTGGCGTGTCCACGGATAGTAAATGCAGTCATGACTAGTGGGGCCGCTACACCTGCAGGCAATTACAGAACAGAAAAGATCATTCGCCATTCACGGGGGCCATGCACACACAAGCGCCTTTGCCCACACATGGAACATGGGAGGTGTGGCAAGAGGGGCAAGTGCTTGGCAAGTACCTATCCATGAAACCAATGCAGTCTTCGAGGCGGGGGCCTATGCACCTGCAGCAAATCCAGATGAAAGGAAGTGGGGAAAGAGAGAGAAAACATACATTAGTCATTTTATAGACAGAAAAACCATTTAGACCATCTCTATTCTGCCCTGGGCTGAGGCAGTTGGTTGCAGTTTCCGTTCTCTAGTTGTCATAAAATCACTGCTTGGAACATTTTTCCAATGCAAAATATAAAATCCAGAAAACAGAGAACCTATGAGATGATGCTCCAGGATGGAACCACTCTTACAAATGATGTGATTGTTGAGCCTTTGTGGAATTCCAGAAATGGTCCAAGGCATGGTTCACCTGATAGGTGAAGGGCCTACCTATGATTTTTTAATTCCATCAGTTACATCAGTGGAGGCCGTCATTAGAAAGAGAGGACCAGGCTAAGGGACAACAAATAATCTGATTCCTCCACCCAAGTTTAGTCTTTTCCTTCCACCCAGTGAGGTATCCAGTAACAGGTAGTGCAGGAGGACCTTCCAGCTCCCTGGAAAGCAGTTTTGGAGGGCACAGGCAGCTGCAGCAGGATGAAAGGGAAGGAATTGATGTGCCAGTGGCAATCTGTTTGTGCAAACTGTAGAACACAGTCTTGCTCCTTTTTAAAAAGTTATTCGGTATCATGTTTTGGGCTGGAAACTCAACTGGAAGATTTGGTGATGGTGAAAGGTGAGCTGATCTGTGTATTAGTTTGATAAGAGGAAGCAGCTCCAGGTGCAAGGGGCCCTTACAAAGTGCCCACAACTGACTGATGCCTCTGGTGGGCTAGGCCCCATCACAGGCTTCCAAGTGTGTTTGTGTGTGGGTGGGCGGGCAGCTGTCCAGTGACAAGCATCCAACAGTGTTTACTGGATCACCAGTTCTGAGCAAATGGCCACCAGTGGATTTCCCTAGAATTGAAGGCTGTATTTACCATATTGTCCTCAGACTGAGTGAAAATAGCATTTGCCCTACTCTGCTGGGCAGCCTGGGAGCAAAAGTGGCAGCAGAGCATGTAGCCCAACAGCTGCGCAGAAAGAAGGACTGGGCCTGTGCAACGAGACCCCCTGCATGGCCACACACACACACACACACACCACTGAAGTTGGGGGAGACTATAATAGCAGGAGGAACATGTCCTGCTGCGAGGGCTCCTGTTTGCACCTGGCAGAGAAAAAGGAAGTCCTTGTCTGGTCCTGCAGTAATCCCCAGGGCCCCAGCATTTGCCGAGAATGCAGCCTTCTTCGACCAGTAAGTATGGTCTCTTTCTGGTAGAAGGAATTCTCAAAGATGAAATTTCTTAAGCATCTCTGCTTCAAAGTCCTTGGTACGGTTTAACTGGCATAATTCCTACAGAGGATACATATCAAGCAGCAGACCTCATTATAGGGCTGCTGTGGCATTGCAGTTCTGTGCTTTTTTGACAGGTACTCTGGCCATACTTGTTCCCTTAGTTTCATTCCAGTAGTCACTCTACTACAGAGGATTAAAGATACGCTACACAGAGTAGCATTTAAACTTTTCACAACCATTCCTATTCTGGGCTAGATATCAAGACAGACACCCCATTCCTCTCACTGCTCCTTTTTTTTTCAAACTGAGGCACACTAAATGAGGAAGGAGGAAACCTAAAATGGCGATTTCTATTAGAAAGACATGTCACTGGAGAATTCTGAATCAGACCGTGAAAAGGAGGCAATTTTGTTGGTGTTTTAGATTAGGTGAAAAGCAGAGAAAGTTGGCAACACTACTGTTAAACCTGTTACTTTTCATGGCTTGGCAATCCCAAGAAATAGATGTGATTTAAAAAAAATGTTTGTTTGTTGGTTGAAGGGCTAGCCAAACAAAAATGTCTGTAGCAAAAGCCGTAACAGCAGGGGATGGGCTCCATGCATTCCCTCACGTATAAAGTTCCATGTGCCTCCATCTCCTCCTCCATGGCCTCCAGAAGTTCCAATGAGAGAAACAATGCATGATACTGAATTAAATTACCTTTACCCAGGTCAATTCTTTCCCTTGGTCATCTGATTATATGGATTGGTTTCATACTCAGCAAAACGTTTGGGCAACATTGGTAATTGGCTCTGCTCTTACATCTAACATGAGGAAATTTAGCAGGTGAAACTCCTACCACTCATTTCATAGGGATGAAAAAGTAAAAAAAGCTTAATATTAGATTTTTACATATCCATTGATTGTGTAAAGTGTAAGAGCAGAGCCAGGAGGTTTGTTGTTGGATCAGGAATCAAGTTTTTGTAGTACTCTCTTGTGTTAGAATATAGGACTTCATTTGGGTTACACAAACAGCTTCCATCTAACATCTTTCGCTCTCCACTGCTCTTTTTCCACAGTACTCCAACTTTTCTTATTATACAACTGAAGATTGTTAAAGGCCAAATGGAAAGCACCTCTAGAACAGATTCTGGCAGTGCCTCTGCAATCTTAGTTTCATTTCCCTAACGGTTCTACTGTAATTAGATTTGCAAAAACAGAAAAAGGTCTAATTTTGAATGGCAACAGCTGTTGACATCAACATTTTATTGAATAATTTACTGGTTTAATTATAGCTGTAAAACAACATGCCCTCTTGTGAATTATTATTTTACAGGATGAAAATGATTTTGATGAGGATGAGGATGATGTGATGATGATGATGATGATGTAGTATTGCTTCTTGCTCTTGATTGGGCATAACCCAGCTGGCTGCTTGCAGAGTATCCATTTTTAACACCAGGGCACACATTAAATGTCCACAGTGAACAGTGTATCAGTTGTGAGAGTGCCTGGTTCATTCACTGATATGCAATATACACTGCATGTTAAACACTGACATGTGAAACATGTCGCGGATCCTGCAGCAGAGACCAGCAGAGAAAGCAGGAAGAGTGTGTGGACCAGCTGCTCACCTCTGGCCATCACCTAGCTCACCTCATCTCTACTTGAGCAGCCAATTTCCCCTTAGAGTTAGGGGTAGGAGAGGGCTGGGAGGCTTGGGATAGCAGAAGGGAGGGAGAAGGAATCAGGGGTTGCTTCTAGCTTTCCTTGCCTGTAGCTGGAAGAATCAGGACCAGTCGGGTCTATTTCTTAGTTCTACTGTTGTGTATATTCCATACCAAAGTCCAAAGGAACAAAGCAAAATCAACACAACAAAGCAAGCAGCAGCTCTGCCTAATACAGAAGTTGCTCCCATGCTAGGTCCAGGACCATCAATGGAATACAAAGGCACTTACAACCTCTGTAAGTTTTGAAGCACAAGTTTGTCATGTGTGTTTCTACAACAATTTGTCATTTTTTTGGTTAAAAAGTCAATATAAGAATGCACAGACATTTGGTACATATTTCTGTCAATGTATACATTTTGCATGCATAAAATATGTCTGTTAGAAGAAATATGTATATAAGCAGAAATACATATAAAAGTGTAGACATAATGAAAAACACATATGAAAATGCATATATTAATAGAATTGCATTAAAATGAATACCGTTGCATGAATGTTCTGATCAGAGAACTACATCAGAAAATTCTGAAATGTTCTGATCTGTGTAGTAGTTTGAAGTGCAGGGTAGGTCAGTGTACATGAAAATACAAGTCAAATTAGGTTTTTCTCCCTTTGGGAGAGGGCTTCAGAAGACTCACCAGTCAGAGAAAGGGGGTGTCAAGTCAGCTTATTTTCAGGTGTGCCTAGGAAAGTTGTGTCATACTGAATCAAGCCAAACCAAATGAAGACACTAAGCTAAGCTCTTGCTGAATGTCGATTTTTGTCTAACCCAGATATTACCTTCATCAGGTGCTGCTAAAAGAGGATGCAAGACCAAGACACTTAGGGAGTGATAGATGGGTCAGGCAAGCTTGAGCTGGGCCACAATTATTTCTCTTAATGGTTCATTCAGAGAGTGACCTGATTCTTCAACCCTACGCATTACCCTGTGAAAAGCATGCCATTGAAGTCTTCTGGAAGTGGGTACTTTATTTTTAACAGTGTCCCAGGGCATCTGCTCTGTGAACATTAATGCTGAAACACGATACGCAGAACCAAAGAAAAGCCTCTTAAATAAATATGAATGAGATTCTGTATCTGTGCCAGCTTTCATGTTAAGATCCATTGGGGATGCTTCCGCACAAGTGTGCACCATCACAAGGGGCATTCATAGCAAACAAGAGCCATTCTAATAGGTTTAGAGGAGTAGCGTTAAACACAAGTCATTGGAACAGAGTAACTGAAGCGGAAATGCAATCGTGGATGCCTGAACCAAAACCTTAGAAGATTGTGCTGTTTTACAGATACAAGGATTTATATAGGGAATATCTTTCACCAGTTAAACTATTCTGGTCACAGTTTCTTAAACTGATATCTGTATCGCTATAGGAAAATAGTGCATGAATAGATACTTCAGTGAAACACATCTTTATAAAATAGAAAAGGTCAGGGACATTCTCACCAAAATTGGCATTTTCTGTAGAAGTGCTTATAATTATCTTTTATGTAGCACCATCAATATACATGCCATTTCACAAAGTAACATAGACAGGAGCATGAACCTAACCCAAAGTAGCCACATGGGGCTATATTTTTAAAATGGCATTTGAACATACATACTGCGAGAGAAGTGCACATGCATGCTATTATTACTACTACACATGCAGTCTAGCACCCTGTGGGGTGGTGCAAACCACAGTAAGCACTTGTAGGCCTCACTGGAAGCACCGCTCTCAGTGGCAAAGGGTTAGGGTTAGGGTCCAAAGTGCTTGATGTGGCCTCTGTCAGGCCCTACGCAAGTGTGTCTCATGCAGGCAAGCAGACACACAGACAGACTTGCTGGTTCTACAATCCAATTTGTAAAATAGATTGTTTCTGGCTAATCAACATTAATCAGAAGAAATGAAGTTAGACAGGAAACTATATCTTTGCTGACCTTAAAAAATGTGACATATAACAGCAATGTTCTAACCCCAATCAATATTGGCAAATGCCGTTATCTGAAGTTATACATGCTTACCCCTGGGTGCAGTTTGGATGACAGGAGTGGCATTCACGGTTCTCATCGGCGTATTTGAAAATAAAGCTGCTTGTCCCTTGGACACCATCGGGACACTTCTCCACACAATTGGGGCCATCTTTAAAATGGAAGCACTTGGTGCAGTGGTCTGCTCCCTGAAAGAGAAGGAAGAGATACAGCAGCTCCATCAATTCCTCTCCTTTTGGAGCATCCTGGGGTATTTTGCAGCACAGCTGCAACGTGATATCCCAGGTTCTCCATGGGGTTGCCAGCATTTTCCAGTGGTCTTTTATTCCTCAAATGGAAACCTTGAGGTTTTCTGTTTTGCTTTGTTTTTCAAAATTTCTGCATGGGCAAGATGTGACCACTTGCAACCCATTTGGCAAAGGCCACCAATGAGTATATGAGTGACTTTTCACTAGCCACTCTTTGGCTCCCAAGGTTACCCTTTTGTCCTAAGAGGCTCCAACCCAACTTGGACCCCTACAAATTCCCTGAAGGCAGCATTTCTGCTGCATGGACTTCACATTTCCTGATAGTCAAAGCAAGATGTTATGTAGCTGAGAAATGCCAAGTGCTCTTGTGTGTCTACTCAAGAGCTGAACATGCTGCATAAACTGCAACAGAAGACTGTCCAAAGCCCTAGCAAGAAATTATAGGAGGCTTAACAAATGACATCAAGTCACAAGTTCCTTCCATGCCAATCTGTGAACATTTTAAAATTTAAATTTTCCTCCAACCCGTCCTTAAAAACCTGCTCACATTTCTTTCCCCTATTTTATCCCCATAACAATCCTAAGAAGTAGGATAGGCTAAGAGATCATGATTGGTTCAAGGGAAGTACTGTGAACTTGAGTCTCCTCAGTCCAACTTTGACATGCTATCCCATCTACCGGTGTAGCCCAAAACACTTCTGGTGTTTTGGGCTACACCGCCCCCCCCCCCACACACACACCTGTCCCAGCCAACACGTTCACAGATGAGAGTTGTAGTCCAAACCATTTGGCGGGTACCATGTTGCCTCCCCTCGCTTGCCCCACACTGTACAGGTTCCCAATTGTTCTGATTTCTTTCAACTGATTCAAGAAATATCTGCAATTGTTGAGCCTTTCCTCTAGCATGCCTTTAGGGGCTGCCTGCTATACTGTAACCATGCTGCATCAGGGTGGTACTCACCGGTCCCCTACATGTGATTCTGTTGTTATCCATCTTCTCACACTGGGGGTCACATTCCATGCAGACAGAGCCATTTGCAAACTCCCTGTATTCCCTGGGGGAAGAATGGGTAAGTTAGACAAGTCCGGGCCTGTGAAACCAGGTGGCATGTCAAATTCTTGCTAACAGTTCCAAAAAGCATAGGGACTTATAGAGTTTCTGTGCATATCTAATACGTGGAGTGTGCAAAAGAAAGGAGTGTGATGGGGTGGGGGAAAGGCAGTGCTTTTTTTGTAAAAAAAAAAAAAGTGCTGGAACTCATGTCGCTGGCAGTAAGTGCACGACCACACATACAGCTAAGCGTCCCAAGCCGAGAGCGCCCTCACTATCTCACTATCAGATAGCGGACACAAAAGCAGCCTGCAGGCACTATGTTAATGATGTTTGCAGCTGATCTGCTACGATTCAAAATCACTTTGTAAAATCCATTGGAAAAAAGGGTGCCGGAAGCCAGTGCGTTGGATGACAAAAAAAGCCCTGGGGAAAGGGGATAAAATTCATGAACCCCCAGGAGGCTGCAAAAGCTCAGGATCAAATTGATGTCCACTGACCTAAATTCAGCCAGGATTGTTTTCTTTCTCTCACAGAGCTACAACTCTCTCAGAGGTCTTGTTATGAGTTTAACTGCTCTCATATATTTTTCATTTGGGTAAAGGAAACATGTCTTATCCAAATGTTAAGCACACAGGGTTCCTTCTGAGCCAGAAATAAGAACAGCAGAGCTGTTTCCAGAGTCTCAAATAAGGCGAAGTTCAGACTTAAAATCGCCACACTGTGGGTGCTGGGAGCAGCAGCTCCTGCTCTTCCACCTGTGAGTGGCCCAGTGGTTTGGCTGCGCCCCACTGAAGGCTGCATCCCACTGACTCAGTTCTCAGCATCAGCAGGACCCACTCGTCTCTCTAGCTGCCAAACCCAACTTTAATAGTAGGTAGGCTTGTTGCAAGGAAGGACTCTGGGATAATCAGCAAAAGAAAAAAACACCATCACCTCACCCCACAAGGGCAAATCTCTGCTAAACAGTTGATACTGCTGTACTAGCTCCTGCCTCATTGCAATCCCCACTCCTGACTGGAAGACTTCTTCTAGGGCAGAGAAAGGATAGCCATGAGTGAGGCGTCACAAGCACCTGTCTGAGCACTCCAGAGTGTCTGATCATGCTTGTGGCTCTCCACTGTCTGCCACTGCAGCTGCTTGCTGAGGCATGAACTGCAAGCAAGCCCAGCCAGGCGTTGGCCCAGGAAAGCAGGTGACACGGAAGAAACATTGAGACTCTGGTGACACCCTCAGCCTGGCACATGGTTGCTGGGGAGGCCACCTGGTTTTTCCTACCTGCATTATATCCATTTTTGCCCATTTCTGATAGCCTGTTTCCAGTCTACCCACCTCCAAGATACCTTGCAGTCCTTGAGCCTGAGTGCCCAACACGCAAGTCCCCCTGTTGCCATGCGGAATGTCCTACCAACCCTTCTCTCCAAGCTGTGCACTCATCCTGTGCTGTGTGGGAGCTGGACATCAATCTACTCGTCTCCTAATGATGGCAACGCTCTCTGTTGAGTTCACAGGTCCATGCTTAAATCTACACCTGACTAATGCCAACACAACACTATCTATGTGCAGAGTTTCCAGAGCCTCAGCATGTGGCAGGACCTAATAAAACAGGACAGTCTGCAATAGGCTTATTTTCCTTCTCCCACATTGTGCAAAAGAGAAGGGCCATTGATTATCCTTGGCTCCCATGCAGGAGGTCAGCTGCAATACTCCAAATATAACATTAAAAAACAGATTCAAGATGGAATCAGACCAGTCATTTCCATTATTTCCCTTCAGAGTATTTCTCCCAACATATCATTGTGTTTTCTGAAACACAACAAATCAAATGAGTCACCCTCAAGTGTCTGCACAGAGAGGTACAAAAGTACAGAACTGTCACGAATAATAATAGTAACACAATGTGATTCCATACAGTCTGGGAAATGTAATATTTTGACATGCAGAGCTACTGCTTTTTAGCAAAATAGCAAGATCTGATGAACAATCCAAGAAACAGACAAAAAGAAATCAAATGCAAATCCACATTATATACATATTTCTCAGAGTAGGTTAAATAAAGCCCATGTACTCTCTAGTGTAGATAATGAGTCAGAGAAATTGAATAAACACTGCCAGTCTCCTACTTTCCATGCCTCACCTAAGATGGATGGCGATCTTGTGTTTCCACCAAACATGTATAAAGTGAAGGGTGACAGGAGGCAGAAGAGTGGCAGATGGAAGGCTGATACTTAACCCTTTGCTACTGCAGAGGTTGTGCCCAATCTTCCTATGATCCCATCCTCAAAGTCTGTTTAATTACATTCTGACACTGGAGGAGAGGCTGGAATCCACAGCTAAATTGTCAAGTGGATCCTGAGAAAGTCAGAGAGTTGCTGAGATCCAGATGCTTTCAAATTCTGTGGGAGAGTCTAGGGAGCAAGCTGGTATGGGAAGGGGCAGACCAAACATCATTAGTCCAATCATATGGCATTAGGCGAAGAGAGAGGACCAGTTGAGAAGTCCCAGAAACTCCCAGCAATTAGATTAGAAAATGTATGCAGTTTGGAATCAGCTTTGCATCATTAAGTCTCATTTCCCTAACAGCTGTAATCTAACTTTGCTTGTTTCCTTTGTTACTGCTTTCTGCTGTATTCTTTTTGTATTTCAGAGACAGACTACCTAGGGTCAGCTTTGACTATAATAAAAACTTTTAGTTGGAAAGCCTTTATCCTGAACTGCTTAGGAGAGGAGGAAAAGACCAGCCTGGACAGCTTCCCAGCACTTTGCTCCTGTGCTTGCCTATCTCCATCTGAATTCATCACAAAATGGCATGCACCTACTCCTAACTCCAGTGAGAGGAGAATGCTGCAGTGGAAAAGTAGTAGACCAGGGACAGCTTAGGCATGTTTCAGGACTGTAGGATTGCTTTCATCAAACAATTTTTAAGTTTATTTTATCCTCCATTGTCAGGTAGGGTCAAACACATTCTGAGAGCACTGAAAAAAAGAATGAAAATTGTGCTACAGTCTTCCATAACTCCATGTTTCAGATAGTCCTCAAGAAGGATGAAGTATGAACTATCACACATTTCTCCCCCAGTGCTAGTGTAATGCAAAATAATCCTAAGGTATATTGGTTCAACAACTCCTATTGGAATGACTGGGACAACTAACATTCCAAGCACATAAAGTACTAAAGGTCAAACTTTTCTCACTAATCGCTGTTTCAAATTATTAGGTACTCCATTTCTTGAGAGAAAGGAGCTTAGGGGTTTGGGACAAAATCAATACTTTATCTATTTCACAACAGATAAATTACTCGGTTTCTTTAACATCACTGCAGATCGTAGCAGGGGTCCAGGTTTACCACCCAAAGGGGGTCTCACTCTGTGCCTTTGTGCCCTTTCTCTCCCCAGGCTTGGGAAGTGAATCCTGGCCCCGACCAGTTCCTGGGTCCTCAAAACAAGACTGGCCTTCTTGGGATCTTGGATGACTCCCTCAATTTAGGTTGCAGAGCAGTGAATTCATTGCCCTCTCTAGCCAGAAAGACCTGTGGCACACTCTCCCATGGCCACCAGCCCTCCCACCCCTTCCTACCTCAGTGCAGCTGCCAAGGTTACCAGCTCCCACTCTGTGGATCCTCTCAGAACTTGCAGTGTGTGGATGAGCTCTCGGAAGGGACTTGCCACCTCAAAAAGCCAATGCGGCTCCCTCGGGGAATCTCCAGGGCTACTGTTCCCACAATGTCTGGCTTTAAGGAAGCCTTCTTCAGAGTCAGGCATTTGGGCCTGGCTGGTTGCTTTTTTGGCCGACATGGCTCCTCAGAAAGTAAAGATGGAGTGGGAGATTTGGGGCAGGATGTGCTGCTGAGAGTATGAATGGGCTGGGCCAGGCAGGAAGACTCACATGGCAGGCGGCTGAGGGAGGGAGATGGGTGAAGGGGAGGAAGAATATGGACACAATGGAGGCAGCCATGGTGTATTTGTGCCTTGGGCTGTGGGAGGGTTTGAACTGGCACTGCTAGGAGGGAACACACTACTCACAGGCTCTGCAGCGGGCTCACTATCAGCTCACTGTTTCACTAGTGCAAGGAGCTGTCACTTATGTCTGGCAACTGCTTAAGAGAGATGTGTAATTCTGTCCAAATTCCCTGTTATCTGATGGGCAGCACACAGCACATCTCCATTGGGAAAGCCTGTGCAATGCAGGGAAGGCACAGAATCCAACATGCCCACATCCCACTTTCTTCTGACGGGAGACCTCTGAAAAGGTGAATCAGTTTAAACATAAGAAGAACTTCTATGGGGGCACCTGGCCTGTCCTCACTGCCTGACTTTGGAAATTGGCAGCAGCAAAAGCAGCAGCATCATTACCAAGAAAGACAATTACAAAGCACAAAATTATGATTCCTTGAAATTCTGCTCTCAGATTTATCTGAGCAGCATTATTCTTCACACTGTTGTTCTCATACATCCAAAGGAATATCATCCAAAATTATACCTAGGAAGATCTTGTAAAAAGATTTTTTATGACAGATGTTGAAAAGAAAAATCTTTCAGGAAAATTGGCTATGATTACTAGATGCTAATGGGTAATTCAGGCTTCTTTCATACATCCACTGGATAGGAACTCTCTCTTTCAGCCTGCACATCAAAAAGCAGTTTAGGACATGCTTAATTGAAGCATACCCACTACTTAAGTGAAACACACTTTTCAAAGACTGGCAGCCTCCAGTAGAAGATATGCTTCAGAGGCAGGACATCTATAATTAGATTCCACATCATCAATTTATTTAAAGTAATAATTCATCAATGTTTCATCTAGGAAACTTGGGCTCAGAAAGAGTACTTCTGGAAAGCTCACCCAAAGCTTGTCTTTCTTCTGTTTTTTTAAAACAGCTTGTACATACAGCTTGATTTGCCACGTCATCCCACTCTTATTTGGAGTAGGGAGGTCTTTGGCCTCCTTTTTTAGTTACTGTGTGACCATAGCCAATCAAGGACCACATCATGCCTTGAAGACATCTCAGGTCCACACAGCCAATCACATTTGCATTCACTCAGAACAGAGAAATGGACCCCCCTCCCCCTGATGCTGATGCGACCAGCACAATATTGTGTTGGCTGTGGTGGTTTAATTGCCTGCCATTGTTGTGCAGTAGGTCAGGAAGGACAGATCCCCTCCTGCTGTGCTGAGGTACGTAGCTGGGCCTTGGGCTGCGGGGCTCCCTGTTTTCCATGCTGTGTTCCAAGGATGAGCAATGTCGACTGCAGAAGAGGGCATCTGGTTGCTTCAGCTATGCTGATGCCATGTTTATATACGTTGAGAGGAAAATTCCAGATAAGTCACTGAAAGGATACTTGGGGGCCATGAACTTATCACAAAACCCCACCACTACATTTTGGGTCCAATTTAAAGCTAGCAATCATATATTTCAATGAATGAATGTGGACAGTGGTGTGGGTATTGAACTAGGATCCAGAGACCAGGTTTAAAAGCACTGCTCAGTGATGAACCTCACTTGGTGACCTTAAGCCAGTGACTGCATCTCAGCCTAACTGATGTCATAGCATTGATGTGAAGATAAAGCACGCAGCAACTATATATGTTGCCATGAGTTTGTTGCCAGAAAGGCAAGATACAATACACGCAAAGCATTTTTTAAAAATATAATCCATAAAACTAAATCCATATCTTATCAATACTGCAGAAATTTTTACCTTTCAAAACTCCCTGGGGTATTTTGACTTAGATAGTGACACAAACCATGCCCTACTGAGCAAGCTATTCCAGCAGCAGTCCGACCATTTAGCAAACTCTCAATTATGAGGAATCCAGTTGATCTCAGCTGGCCCTGGGCCAGCCAGAACATAATGTTGACGTGAGGTCCAAAGACAGCCAGGACTTGTGCCAGACAGGTTGGGCAGATAAAGGAAGCTAGTCTAAGGAATGCTTCCTCAGATTTGGAGGTCTGCACAGATCCGGAGGTCTGCCCTTCATACACTGGAGTTACATTATAAAGATATTAATAAACATATTAATGTTAGTACCATCATCACAAATGTGGGCACCAGATTTTTAAAAAGACTTTGACCAACTAGAAAATATCTAGAGGGGAGTGACAGCATGGCAACAGCCCCGGAAATGAAGTTCTATGCAGACACTTGAAAGTGCTGGTTATGTCTAGTCCGGGGGAGAAAAGAAGAGGAGACATGGCAGCCATTTTCAAGTATCTGCAGCACTGCTCCAAAACACAGGAGCAGAACCAGCGGATAGCAACTGCAGGCAAGCAAATTTGGCTGAACATTAGCAGAAACCAACTAAGAGCAGGAGATGTTCAACAGTGGAAAAACTGCAGAGAGAAACACTTTCTCTGGAGGAATTTCAGAAGAGGTGGAATGGTCACCTGCCAGGGATGCTGTAATGGCATCCTGAACAGGGCTAGATCACCTTCCAACTCCGTGATTCTGTGTTGGCATCCATTCTGGCAGATAGGCTGCTGTTACTCGTCACTTTATATTCAAATTACAGAACAGCTATTTCACAATGTACTGCTGCTTATCAGTCCCCCACTTAAAACGCAGTAAAACCTGACAAGCTATTTTACATTTTTCTGGAATGTTCATCATCAGTTTCCTTTCAAACATTGACCACTTATTTTGCTTCATGCCAGGCTCATCATTCCCTCCCATTCAAAGCTTCTGCCAGGAAATCATGTACACCACCTTTCAAATCACAGGCTCCACTAGCTGCTTCACCGCAAGCTAGGCTTTATTTCAGCATTTCCCCATTTAAAGGACACACCTGGCTAGCTACTGGACATTGCACCAGACCACTGGATGATGTCCAAGCACATAGTTCATTTGGAACAGGCAACCGCAACTGTTAATTGCTCTGGGAGAGGAGAATCCTGAATGTATGAATTAGAATTAGTTGACAATACCAATCAGGTATTGATTATTAATCAATACACATCAAGATAAAGAACAAACTTGTGGGGAAGAATGTATACACACAAACAGGCATGCAAGAGTGCAGGAGACAATGACTTACCCATCATAAAGATTACAAGCTTTTACACAGGTCCTTCCCCTGATGAAGTGCTTACAGGACAAACACTGGTCTGGTCCTGGCCCCCAACATCCATTCTTTGAGCATAAATGACTGCATACCATCCCCTCTGCAGCTGTAAAATAAAGAGGGGAATGACCATTTACAATATACTAAATGGCAGGAATTATGCTCAAACCGAGAATGAAGATTTACACTCAACTGTCACACACTTAATAAATTAATAAAGCAGGCAGGATTCTCCACATGAGAAGAAATATAGGACAGCAAGGAAGAAGTGGTGCTGCCCACATGGAAAGATTTCTACTCCAAGAGGCCTGCCTAGCCTCACCACCACCATTCATTGTTATTGAGTCTCGGAGGAAATTTACAAAACCCGACTTCCAAATGACGTTGGCCTTATTTAGTAATAATTACTATGGCTACCTCTCCTTTTAAGTTCAGGTTCTGTAATTGGGGTTGTGTGTAAGTGTGTGTTACATAGCTGTGTAAAGCTATTATCTTATGCCTTCATATCTGAATTAATTTCCTTTTTAAAAAAAGTACATGATTAGGGAGCAGAATTCTTGGAATAAATGTGTTACAACTTCCTGAGATGGCAGAAAGCACCTTTTCTGAGATGTTGATCAAGAATGAGCAGTATAGCGGCGGCACAGAAAGGAAATAAATAGTCTATTTGGTGATGGAACTTGCCTACCAAGGACACATTCCTATGGCCTCCCGAAACTGCCTAGGCAGGCATAGGAAGATTTGAAATCCTTACCTGTTTCTGTCTTATAATCTATTTGTTGCTTCTTGTGCTGCACAATGTCACATGTTCTTATATATTTTTAAATGTCTCCTCATTTAAATGCCACTCATTTAAATGTCACTTCTCATTGAGAAGTGTCTACTGTATATTCCTGCCATCAGAAAGAATGGCTGGCTGTGCCTCATTAACAAAAATACTGAATCTCTGTCATGCAAGTGTACTGTGCACTTGAGCATATTATTACTTTTCTATAGCTGTTCCATCTTCAACTTCAGCTTGATCTGCTCTTTCATCATTGTGCTGCAGTCTCTGGTCATGGCACTGCATTTGCCAAATGCCTCTTTTGATCTATGCAGCATGGCTGGCCTATTGCCTAATGCCTTTTTAAAATGTGCTTGCTTGCTATTTTCCTAGAGAAGGACACCCTTAGAGAATAACAGGTCAAGGATTTTAGTCTCCTTGGCATCTGCAGGCAGGGAAAGAAGCCATGAGGGCAGGAGGAGCCACTTTCCACAGGGCCCATCCCCAGAGCCTTCACCCTTTCTAACTGGAGGCCACCAGCTCTCCAGTGCATTCTTCCAGTCTCAGGACCTCTCTTGCTCTTTCTGTTGGAGCAAGCTGGAATTCAGTCTGCTGCCTGCACTTTTGGAAAAGGGATACTGAGGCATCACAATAGTCTGTCAAGCCTTCCTTGCAGGCCTGCTAAAAGTACACTGAAAATGCCAAAAGAACTACATTACACAAAGCAAGGGATTCACTAGAGAACTTGTATTCCTTTGGCCAAGTGATTCCTATGAGTCCTCAGTCAACTCCTGGCCTCACTTCTTACTGATGAATATGAATATGTTATGTGAAACTATGACTGCTAATACTTCAGACAGTGTATATCGCAAATACCAAGCGAAAATGTCAATTGTGCCTCTTGAGCCACCTTGAATACACCTGGGTCCACTGCAAGTTTCTGTGTTGTTCATGAGTGTGTATTACATATGGATATAAATACATTTTCTCCCTAAACATCCAACATTTGAGAACTGCACCAATCAGTGGATAGTTAAGTTCCAATCCAGACGAGTCCATGGGGTGTGCATCACAACAGCTTGTGTGGGAACTGGCAAAGGTCGAATTTCTCACACATTCCTATCATCTGCCCCCAGCTCTTTGGCAGAAAGTCCTATATTATTACATTCTGTGTATCTGAGCATACTGACTTCCAGTGGCTCCAGTCACAGCAGTGAGGCATTAAACTGCTTATGTGACCAGGACATGCCTGCAGGGAGAGTGCTTTATTTAGTATTATGGCTCTACTAAACCAAGAAACAACTTCAATTTGGATGGCTCACAATGGTGAGTAGGACTCAGGTGATACACTCTAAGAAAGAACAAGTGTTCTGATTTAGGAAATGGTATTTTTGTGGAAGGAGTGTATTAGAAGAAGCAGGGAAACTTGGGTTCAATTCCTGACTCAGGTAAAAGTCTCATTGGGTAGCCTTAGGCCACTCACGCCCTCTCCTAGCCGTTTATATGTTTATGTGTTTATTGCATTGATAGTCTGCCTTCTCCAAGTAGCCCAAAGCAGCATACAAAACCCTTCTCATTTCCATTTTATCCACACAATGACCATGAGACAGGATAGGTTGTGTGGGTGGTCAAGTCATCCAGTGAGCTTCACGGCTGAGTGGGGACTTAAACCTGAGTGTTCCCAGTTCCAGGCAAGAGTCTAATCACTGTACCACTCCTGCCATCAAGGGATGCTGTGGAAGGTGTGCCATTCTAAGTAGTTTGGAGGAATACTGTGATAACAATACATGGATTTATTTATTAAATGCAGTTTTTGTTTTGCAGACTTACTGCAACAAACAAACAAATAAACCAAGTTTAATAACATGATTTGAAACATGTTTTGGATTATAGGGAGAATTCATTAAACTGTCTTGCCACTTTTTCCAAGGCTGGAGTTTTTTAAGAGCCTTCTGGAACTTTTGACAAGGAAATAAACTCTCTATACACAAGAAAGACAAAAAAGAAGCCTCTCTACATATATAGGAAATAAACCAGTGAGTAATCTTTCATTAAAAACCTTGGCTTGTCGGTCTCTTTTATTAAAGAAAGTTCCAAAACAATATTACTCAGTTAATTAAACAAGCAGGAATAAAGTCAATTAGACCTCAAAGATTTATAAACTTAATTGACTGAAGGTGTTTATGAAGAAGCTGTGGCTTCCTAAAACAGAATTGGTGAAGCACTACAAAGCACTTAGGTACTGTTTAGCTCTTCCCGGTTCACACTAGTCTATTACTTTCTACAAATGAAGAGAAGGCAGCAACATTTTTCTGACCCATTGCTTATTCTGCCCAGAGCTGAGATCAAGTCTTCCATTCCACAAAGATGAGCCACATGTAGATTATAAGACAAGAAAAGAATTCTCGAGGATACTATTAGCCATACAGAAGAAGTAACCAAGAGTTTTCTGGGCAGCTTGGGGGCAGGCTTTCAAAAGTTATCGGCACTGAGAACAAACTCGAGACTTTCAGCCAATGGATGCAACTGCAGAGGACCCCTCCGGCTAGGTACTGTGCAGAGTCAACATGCCATGTTGCTGGCATCAGCTAAACACTAAACAGCATTCATGGCAGAAATCTCCTACCAACTAGGCCTTTTTCTGTTAAGATAATGAGGTCAAGATAATTGTTTGTGATTTATAGTGAAAAGGGCCCATCTGTTATAAAGTTAAATGCAGTGAGCAAGCAAGCAAACAATGCTGATGACAAATCTTTCTCCAACATGTTCAGGTCACATCTGTCCAGGCAATGAAATCTTACTACCTTGCATGGCAGTTTATGCAAACTGCCGTTTTCAGACCACTACCTCTCATGTTTATGCTACAACTGCTGGGTATGATGGTGAGGGAATGGGAAGCCCATAATGCACTGGCAGAACAGGTATTTTGCATGCATACAGTCCCAGATTCAATCTTTGAAATTTTCAAATGAAGCTGAGCTGGAGGAGGATCTTTATCCTGAATATTCTCTGTTGTTGCTGTTATGTGCTGTCAAGTCATCTCCAACCTATGGCAATCCTATGAATGAATGAATGCCCTGAAAAATGTCCTGTCCTTGACAGTGCTGTTGAGCTCTGTAAATTCTGTGTTGAAATTTCTGATAATTATCATTGACATTATACAGTCAGACTTTGCATTATAGCCCCTTACTGCCTACGTCATGTCTTGCCTCAGTATTAGGACTACCCCATATTTCTTCTGAGTGTACCATTTCCGTAGTAAAACACTTTCTGTTTCTCTGACTGAAAGTGTCCCATTCCAGTCCACCTTAGTGCACTCACACAAATACTGTGATGTTTAAGCATTCCATTTCTTGCTTTACAGTTTCCAGTCTGCCTTGAGTCCTACTTCTCACACTCACTATTCTAATTGTACGTGTTGCGTGGCATCTGACTTCCTTTTCACCTCTGTGCATGTCAGCCCCTGGACTTCCTTTCAGCTTTGTGTCACTAGCAGCAGCACTGTGTGCACTTGCCCTTTGCTCTTCCCCAGTGGCTGGCCAAGTGGCTTCTGACCTGGGGGTCTCATCTTCTGGCACTGCCTCTTGTTCCATTTTGGATTGTTTTCTCACATGTAGAGAGGGCACCCATCTCTCTCTCAGTATTGGCTGCTCAGATAGATTGTCTGACGCAGGAGGATTGTCTGGTGCAGATTCATGAGAATCTGCCTGCCCTGGAAAGGGAGGAAGGCTCTTTGGGGTCAGAAGGGGAGGAGATGCAACAAGGTCTCTTTGACCCAGTCAGTTGTCAGTGGGGGAAACAGACTGACCAATTACATGGACTCAGCCATTCATGGCATGTGGCCCTCAAGCAGCAAGAGCCACCTTGAGGGTGGAGTCGGATGCTCTACCGAAAGGGAGCAGCAGAGGGGAAGTTTCAGTTCTGACACAGCCCTTTACATGGACAGATGCTCATCCCAGCACTCTGGTAGAAGGCCTCTTTGGCCCATACTGTTTTGTAACCAGACATGCTTCAGTAAAGAACTATGCTTCTGAGCTTTTGTTTTCAGTTTGAGAGGAGAAAGGAAGAGGGAGGTGACCAGCTCACAGTAATAGGGTTTCAGGGTAAGGATATTCAGGAGTGATTTCCCATCACTTCCTTCTATGCTGTACTAACCAGGGTTAGCTCGAGGGTTGCTGCCACTGTCTGTGAAAGGTGCTCCACCAGTGTCACCTTCAACTAGCACTGCTGCCCAGTAGCTGCCCTTCGGGAGCCTCTCTGCCCCCATCCCCATTAGAGAGATCCAGTCTCTCCTGTTGATGTAACCATGGCACCCAGAGAGGATGGATGGGCCTTAGTCTCGT